AATGGAATAGAATGGAATAGAATAGAATAATGGAATGAAGAATAGAATAGAATAGGACAGGACAGGACAGGATAGGATAGGATAGGATAGGATAGGATAGGATAGAATAATGGAATGTAGAATGGAATGGAATGAAGAATAGAATAGAATAGAATAGAATAGAATAGAATAGAATAGAATAGAATTCTTTATTGGCCAAGTGTGATTGGACACAGAAGGAATTTGTCCTGGTGCAAATGCTCTCAGTATACATCAAAGAAAAGATACATTCATCTAGAGTTAAGGATCATCAGGTACAACACTTAATAATAGTCATAGGGTACAAAAAGTAATCGAATCATACTAGGAAACAGTCAACAAAAATGGTTAGGAGACAAATGACAAAGTTACAGTTATACAGTCACAAGTGGGAGGGGATGGGTGATAAGGAGTGATGACCAGATTAATAGTAATAGCAGTACAGACTTTGTAAATAGTTGGACAGTGTTGAGGGAATTATTTGTTTAGAAGAGTCATGGCGTTTGGGGAAAAATTGTCTTTGTGTCTAGTTGTTCTGGTGAGCAGTACTCTATAGCATCATTTTGAGGGAAGGAGTTGAAACCGTTTATGTCCAGGATGTGAGGGGTCTGTAGATATTTTCACAACCCTCTTTTTGACTCGTGCAGTATACAGGTCTTTGATTGAAGGGAGGTTGGTAGTAATTGTTTTTTCTGCAGTCCTAATTACTCTCTGAAATAGGTTCTCCTGTTTGAGCAGGAGGCTGGACTAGAAGACCTCCAAGGTCCCTTCCAGCTTATTCTATTCTATTCTGTTTGTAAAGGCTTTGATGCATATATACACTTTCGGCATAAATCAGTGGCTCCAATTCTAAACTTTTTTCACCCATTACGGAAAGATACTAAGAGTTTCCCCTCTTTCTTTCTTCCAAATCCAGGGCTGCCAACAGCAACAGGAATTCAAACAGATACCATCCTTCCTTTCCACCTAAGCTCCCTTATATCCTAAATTACATACGCTTTACATATGGAATGTATCATAAAGCACGCTGGCTACATGATCGTTAATAATGGAGCTAATTGTAGGAGGGCCCGCCGAGTAACTGCAGGCCTGGATTAAATGCCTCCTCCATGCTAATGGCATTCTTGACTTCAGAGCTCATTTAATTGTTCCTGAGATTTAATTACTTCTCTAGAAACACATTTTCATCTGATAACATACCTTTTTTTTTCCCCACTTAACCTCCCAATTATCTCCTTAGAGTAGTGAATCAACTTCTTTGCTGTCTAAGGCAGGTCTTGAATTTGTGATGCACTGATGGACAAGTTAATCCAGACTCTCAGTGTATTACTCTAGCTTGAAAGATAAGCAGAAGTTTAATGGGTGATGAGAGAGAAAATGGCTGTAGCCAAGTTTTGGTATTTCTATCTGAGAGGGATTGAGGTTTGACACCCTGGCGGTGAATGGGTCAGCTTGTGAGAGAAAGAATTCAGAGTCTTTTACCATTAAATGCCCTTTGTACAAAGCTATTACACTAAAGCAGTGCTTTTCCCACCCTTGGTGACTTTAAGATGTCGTGGCTGGCTGGGAAATTCTGGGAGTTGAAATCCACAAGTCAGCCCAGATAGAGAAACCGCTGCACTGGAAGCTTAAGAGCTTTAGAATGGGAGCGAAAAAGAATTCTAAAGTTAATCACTTCAAACAAAAATAAATAAATGTGGGCCTTTCGTGCAAAGTTATTTCAAAGTTGCTGCATGTAGAGCTGCATTTCTCTGGGTCTCTGAATATTTACCCCTTGTGCTAGTTGATGTTTCCAAATAGCTAGGCGTTTTAAACATGAAGCAAACAGTTTACTATTTATATAGATATTGTATGTAGCCAAGGTACCATGTAACAGAACCAGCCATACAAACTACACCTGTATGGGATTCATCTAACAATCTGGCACAGGATTTTCACAGCCCTCCAGAAGACTGGGTGCAACACAATTAACCAGTGTGTGTTTTAAACAGGAATTAGATTAAACATGTAAAACTGGAGTATATTTTTTTAGCAGGAACTGAAACAGTTGTTAATAGATATAGTTAACTTCCAAAATGTGACTAAAATGCAAGCAATTCAATTAGGTATAGAGATGTAAAATGCATAGTAATTCACACAATAGCAATCAGATCTGGATTTATGCTGATAATGCAAATGTTTATGACACAATTTTTTTAAAGGGGTGAGCCCAATTGTTGGTATTTCAAAGAGAAGATCCTGCAAAAATGAAATTATGACTATGATTATTGTAGTAATTGTACTGAATTATGTGTGTCTGTGTACACATATACATATACATACACACACACACACACACACACACACACACACACATATATGGTATTTAGGTTTCTTCGGATATTTTCCCACGTCTTAATAGTTGGGCTTTTAAAGTTATAGCAATGTTTCATCAGAATCTCATGTAGTGCCTTAAAACAAATATTAATATTAATGTTAAAATTCTAATCGGTAGGTGCAATGAAAATATTAATGGATATAGTCGGTGTGGCAAATTTTAATCAGATCAAAGTACATTTTCAGTTTTAGTCTTTCATTCTACTGTGCCATTTTGTATATTACTGTGATGAAAAATATTAAATATGGCTTTAGTTTCTAGTAGCGGATGGGAACTTTTGATTATTAGTTCATGCATATCGCAAGAAGGAATTATACTGAGATTTGGTAACATAAAATTTAATCAATTTGAAAAGGACTACAATCAACTAAAGTGCTTGGTAGCCTTACTGCATATATAAACAACACCTTGATCATGAATATTTGAGCTGCATGTAAAATAATACTTGCCAAGGCAGAAACATCAATGCCTGTGACAGATTTTCCCCCCGGGGGACTGGATGAGAGAAAATGACAGTCTTTCTTTCTCAGCAGTGAGTTGACTAAATAATGGAACAAATTGGAGCTGAAGAGAAGCAGGAACTGTCTGGGACCACTAGAAATCTGTAGTGCAATATCTCTGTATGAAGGCTAGGCTAGCCGATGATTAAGAGATGTCTAGTCTCAACATATGTAAGCATATATATCAGTGGTGGGATTCAAAAAATTTTACTACCAGTTCTGTGGGCATGGCTTGCTGGATGTGGCAGGGGAAGGATACTGTAAAATCTCCAGTCAGAGGTGGTATTTGCCAGTTCTCCGAACTCCTCAAAATTTCCACTATCGGTTTTCCAGAACTGGTCAGAACTTGTTGAATACCACCTCTGATATATATGATATAAGCCATGATAGTCTCTTCCATTAATGTCGGTCACTGATAGCCCTATACCAGGGGTGTCAAACTAGATTTCATTGAGGACTGCATCAGGGATGTATGTGACCTCGGGGGGATGGGCGGGGCACAGCCAGGATGGGTGTGGCCAGCTCGACATCACTCATGTTGGGGCACCTGTTGTGATGACCCGGGGTGTGGCACAAAAGCAACACAGACACATAAGTAAGAAAAGTCCCTTTAAGACCTCCAACTTTGCCCCCAATGTCCAGCTACCTTTGGCTGGAGAAAAAACTCTCCCAAGAACAGTCTTTAAGTGGAGGGAATTCAGTCCAAAAACAAAGTACATAAAAACTGTAAATAAAAATCCACACAAACCACGCTGCAGCAATTAACTGGACAGGGCAGGATAAGCAATTGCAGATTTGAAAGGCCAACAAGACACACACAGTTGGGAAGACGCCAGGAACGTAGATAAACCACAACAAAACAAGATAATACCTGATTTGTTTCCAACAAGTTGCTGTGCGCAAACTCCCTTTTAAACACTGTGTTCCCAGCTGCAGTTAATGAAGGGAATCAGGGCCCTTTCCTCCCCCATAAGCCACGCAACTCACATTGCTCTCTTCTCCGTTCCTCCCTGTGTGTCCTAGGATGAAGAGGAGGTGGATCTTCCTCCGAGTTCCCTCTGCCTGAATTACCTCTTCCCTGCTCTGCCCAGCCGGACTTTGCTCTTCCCCAGTTTCTCCCACAGCCAACAGAGTCACACTCCCACTCCCTGTCAGCTGTTCAGCTTCCCCCTCAGAATCAGATTCCGACAGGGGCATGACCCCTGTGTTGGCCAAGTGCTAAGGCAGGACTTCCCTCAGACCCTCCCTCACATTATAATCTCCTTCCTTCTTTTTCCTTCCCTCTTCATTCTCCTTTCTTATTCGTTCCCCTCTTTCTTTATTTTACCTTCTTTGCTCTCTTCCCATCTTTCCTTCTTTCTGGGGGAGCCGTGGGCCCCATTTTTGGTCACAACAGCCTCCTGCAGCCCCCCGCCAGCAAAAAGGCCTTGAGTTTGACACCCCTGCCTTACACAATCAAGAAACAAACACTGCCTAAGTCTAAAATTACTTTTATTGGAATGGCTCTAATAACAGGATCTGGATGTGTCTCTTCCTCCTTAAATCTGTGCAAATTAGAAGGGTACCTGTCTTAGGCATGTTTGTAAATCTCTCTCATTCTATGGGCTTAAGTCCGGTTTACTCGTTCAATGCCTTAGCAATGGATCTTTTCTCTCTCCGGTCACAACTTGTGCAATTTGCCTACTTTCTGTCATATACTTCCCTTGCATCCTCTTCTGTCCTTATGTCAGCTCATTAGGAAGACATCAAATTGGCAATCATCCCCTGGGAATTCCCTTTTTGTAGCAGGAGGAAGGATGGCATAGAAAATCACATGTTAAATTTTTCAAGGCATGCGGTGGCTCTCAAGATTAGGACGCCAGGCTGACCATCGGGCAGGCTTGCGTTTGAGACCCCATTGCTGCCGCAGGATGGGGTGAGCTCTCCTCACATACTCCTCACAGCTACTGTCGATCCAGCAGTTTGAAAATGGGCAACTGAGAGTAGATAAATGGGTACCACTTTGGTGGGCATTTATTTAGCATATGGCAAATACATGGACTTATAGTGGTTCAAATGTCAGTGTCCAGTCCACCCAACCATTCAAGGACAGGCTGGTCTATGTTGAAGAAAATCAGACATTGGGCCGGTGTAAGCTCTGGATGGACATTCAGACATAAATGTGATGGATATTTTGTCAAGAAGCACCACAGCCACACTGTGGAGTAGACACAAGACCCCCATTTAAACAATTTAATGGGGACAGGTAAGGAGGCTCCAACTGGGCATCCCTCAGGCAATGGTGATATCACTGTTCAATCCTTTCAACCCAAAAGCACTTTAGTGCTCCAGACACGAATGTAGCAGTAGTACATTTTTCGATTCAGATTCTACAACACTGAACGCACATTCAATAGGCAACATTGGCTTCCATTCAAATAGGAAAAGGCCAACATTGGCTCCCATCCACTGAGCACATGATGGGGCGAAACTGTAAAGACAATCCATAAATGATAATCGTCATCATCGCAATGCCCAACCTTCCTACCACTAACTTTAGTTTACTTTACTTTACTTTATTGTCATTGCACCTCATACAACGAAATTAAATACCATCTTCAGTGTACATTATTACCATGAAAATAAACACAAACACACATCCTTCACATTCTATACATTGAATTGAAAACCCCTGATGTTGCATTAATATTGCACTATGCAATAGAATTCAACAGAGCTATTGCCCTGGGATAGAAGTTGTTTTTCAGCCTATTTGTCCTTATTTTTATTATCCTGTACCGTCTGCCAGATGGTAATAGTTCAAAAAAAAAAGGTTCCCAGGATGAGATGGGTCTTTGAGAATGTTTTGAACTTTCTTAAGACAGCGGGAGCTATACAGCTATAAACTTACTGAATTACAGCAATTCTGACGATTGAAAGTTTGCCTATGAATTGTACGCCGAGGAGATAACCATGTTAGTTTATTCGCTCATAGAACCACAACTCTTTTTTGCTGAAGGTTTCCATCACCGATGGAGGCAGCAAAAGCAGATCATCCTAACCATATATGCATATGTCTTTTGCTTTCCAGGTAATTATTCTCTCTACAACTCTCCTGACACCACAGAACATTCTGGAGCTGCTCTTCGCAACAGACTGTCTCAAGCCAGACATCGGTATCTGAAGTTGCCAAAGCAGGCACCTGACCCAACTTTGTGGGAAACACACCAAAGTCTTTGCCTTCTATTTTTCAAGAACATTCCTTTAAAACAGAGATGCTCTGAAATTGCCCATAACATGAGAAATTTTCAGGTGGGAAAACGTGATGAGCTCCATGTTTGTGAAGAAAAACATCTACCTTAGTCATTGCTTCAAAGCCATTTTTTGAGTGATGTCATGCTAACCTTCCTCTCCTTGCAGAAATGTTGTGTTTAGCTGAAAATCCTTTATCTCCAAGCTTATTAGCAGCGATGATTGTTGCAGGGCATTATTGTATGAGAGCCTGTGGAGATTCAAAGAACATTGTAAAACTATGAAAGAGAGCAACCCAGGCCTTCATTTTTAGACAAAGCTTTTCCTACATTCTTTTGAGCACCATGGCTCACAGATTTTCTTTAGCAAGGTAGATAAAAGATACCCACTGCAAAAAAAAACAAACCATGGGAAATGTGTGAGTAGCAAATTTGATCTGAAATATCTTTATTCTCTCTGAGTTAATGTACCCTTCTTGGCAAATAGTTATGGGGAATGGGGAAGCAAGGCCAAGATTGGCCAAGGTTCAGTGGCATTTGGAGCGTGGGTCAAAATAAACAAAACAATGGTTGTGTGAAATTGCAATCCAAGCGTTTCCCTTTTTGTGAGTGCACAAGTCTGAAAGGTTTCCATTATGTTGTTGTTACTGCCATCTTTTTTTTTATTCCCTTCATGTCACCACCATCTAGATCAGTGGTCGCCAACCAGTGGGCCAGGGACCACTGATGGTCGACGAGAAAATTTTGGTGCAATGTCACCCGCAAAGCACCCCCAAAGCAATTAATCCAGGCTGCACGAGGGAACACAAGGCTGAGCTGCCCACATGGCCCACGGGAACATAAGGCTTGTGTAGCTTGCATTGTGAACAACATGAGGTAGTGAGGGGAGGGTGGAAAGGGCAAAGGGTGGGGGGACTTGCCCCACTCACCCCATGCATCTTGCCTGGCCACCGGGCTGCTTCTTTCCGCTTCTTTCTTCTTCTGCTTTTGGCTGCAATCAAGGAAATCAGCAAAAGTCTTCCTTTCTCCCCTCACCAAACTCCACCAGAAATGAGATTTTGGGACCCTGGCAAGGCACCCTGCTCCAAGAGGCTGCGCCATTCTGGTGAAGTTTGGGGGGAGAGAAAGAAAGACTTCTGCTGCTTTCCTTGCATGAAGCCAAAAGTCTCTCTCTCTCTCCCTGAGAACAGAGGTGGAGACGGTATCCTGCGATCCCAAATAATGATCAATTGGTAGGAAAATGGGGTGGGGAATTTTCCTGCATACTTTTGGGGGGATTTTCCCAGGGTCTCTGCTGCTTTCTGCAGAGACCCTGGGAAAATGTCAGCAAGCCACCGTCAGTCAAAATTCATATTAGTGGTCCGCGGAATTTAAAGCTATGAGTTTGGTGGTCCATGAGGTCCAAAAGGTTGGTGAGCCCTGATCTAGATTACATATTAGTAGCCAAGTTACAAGGCAGGAGACACCACTGTGGGAAAAGTTCATTGGCAAGAATTTGAAGCTAATTGGTTTTCCCGCCAAGAGCTCCATTTTGCAATTTTCTAAGGTAAAACCAGCCTCATGTTCCCCCTTTAAACAGAAACAGGAAAGATTCCATCAGCCTCTGTCATCAAAGACAACACTTCAAATTTATCCGAAGCATTACAGATTCCTTATTCCTTATTTAGAACTTAGTACTCCAATAAAAGCAAACCCAGACTCTTTGCTGGGTAACTGATGTGTTCATGCAGTCCAAAGTTATCCCTGGCCAGCATACCTTCCCACCCCCACCGCCCCCCAAAAAGTGTGAACTTGCTTCAGAAATCACCTAAAGAGATCATCTCGTTGTCATGAAGGCCCGGGATTCTAACCTTCCAGGAGGGAAGAATATCCTCATTCATGGTACTTGCATCTCCTAGCTCTTCCGTCTTCAGATCCGGTGTTTCAGTTAAACCTTTGGGGGAAAATGTTTGAGACCTTCTTTGTTTTCAGCATGAAGAGAGTCTGTCTGATGGTATTTATTGGATGGAGCCTGTCCCGTGTAGGATATTCAGAGAAAGATCCACATCACCCACACCGAACACATACACACAGAGGGAAAGTGGGTATAGAGCAGTGGTGGCTAACTTTTGGGTGGGTCCTGTGCCAAAAATCACATGCGCATTAGCGCGCACGAGCACCCAGAATGCAATGTGCGCCCCTCCTTCCCCTGCACATATGTGCACAATCCCCCCTGCCATCCCATTACCTGCACTGCGCCTCACAGCCGATTTTTCGGCTGGTTTGAGGCCTTTTTCGGCCTCCCAGAGGCTTGGAAAAAAAACTCCGCAAGGCTTTTCAAGCTGAATTATAAGCCCGTTTCGTCACTTCCAGTGTTACAGGAAGTGAGGAAACAGACCGATTTGTCCTGAAAAGCCTTGCAGAGGCTTTTTCCTAGCCCCTGGGAGGCCAAAAAAGGCCTGAAACCAGCAGAAAAATCAAGCTTTGAGGCGCATGCATATGCAGTGAGGTAAGTTTGCCTGCGGTTCGCGTGCCAGTACAAATAGCTCTGAGTGCCACTTGTGGCATGGTGGCATAGGTTCGCCATCACAGTATAGAGTGTGTGTGTGTGTGTGTGTGTGTTTACAAGTTCAAAGCAGAGTCTGGCTAGTGTTTTTTCTTTGCCGTTTATTTTCTCAATAATAAAAGGTAGCATGATTTAAGATAAGGAATCAACGCCTCATTATTGCCAACCCGATTTGTGACATGGTTTTCTTTTCATATTGCTATCGCTCAGTTGACTTGGCTTCTGATTATATTTTGTAGCAGTAGAATATAGCCAGATGCTGCCTTCTTCAATGGAACCAAATCCAGCAGTTTGGTCCGACCCCGTGTTTCAAGGGAACGGATGCTGCAGTCAAGCCGGTGCAAAAACAGCCCCCTTTTAAAAAGACTTTTCACAGCCCCCATTGAAGACGATTGAAATTGGGCTGCAGCCTGAGGGTTCAGCAAACAGAAGACGACTACTTTGTGAATCACGCCTCACAGGGAAAAGGGCAAACTTCTGAGCATTTACTTATGCTTATAATCTGTGGATGAGCTGGCAAGCCAGCATGAGCGATAAAACTACTTAATGGAAGTGCTTAGAGAGAAAAGGGTAAACACAGTCCCCATGGTTACCAGGCCAGATCTGTCATATTGAACTAATAGGCTAAATTCTCTATTAAATGGAAGGATTCCGGTATGGGCCGGCTCTCGTCTTATACACAACTTCATTGGAACACGGGCTGAAAATGGGGACTACGGGAGAGCTGAATTATATAGGACTTTGTGTAGGGTTACCTTGCACTCTGTTCATGCAAAATTCCAGAGTGTTGCTTTTTACAATCTTTTAATTGCCTTTCCTTATCAGTAGAGAATAGATTTAACCTCCAGATCAGAACTGTCTATAGTAGAAGGTGCCAGAAAAACCAAAATGGACACCTTATTCCATCAGACATGCAAGGAATGCTTAAAAATGAGACTTTGCCCAGGTAGTCATGCCTGCTAATCTTGCCTTATTTCTTACACACACACGCACACATGCTTCTGAGTCGAGTTATAACTCTTGTGGCACAATGGAAACAGTACCACAACACAGTACCTTAGTACCACAACTGCTGAAGATGCTTTGGTGTTTTTGATATGTTGTGCCAGGTAAGACTTTTTGGGGAGTTGTGGCCAAGTGGTAATGCCCACAGGGTTTTTAGTAGAAGCTCTTAAGCAATGGGAGTGGCCACCATGTAGTTAGAAAAGCATTTGAGAAGCAGGTAGCTTTGTACAACAGCTACACAACTGTTGTGGTAGAGAACTCTTATATTTGCAAGAGAGTTGCTGATGGGTGTGTAGCATTCTCAAAAATCAGTGGACCTGTGCCACTGTATGATTTGTTTCACACCTTCACATTTTTTTCCCCTTGCTTCACAGGCAATAGAAATCTTACTAACACAAACTGATTTTTTTCCCCTATGTACTTTGCCTAGCAACTGGTTAGAAAAATACAACAATTCTTGAGAAAACATTGTTTAATTTAATGATGACACAAAAGAAAGAAATTGTAGCCTGGTAATGTTTCTGAAACATGAAATAAATAAATTACCATGTAAGGGGAACGCACGGTATTGCTTTTTTGTTAAACTGCATCAATGTTATACTTATGCATGTCTTATTTTAAACTTGTTCTGCTTTATGGGACAAGCCTCGTGGTCCAGCACGAGGCTTGTCCCGTTTGTAATTGTTAAATTACAAAAAGCAGGCTGATATAACAGTGGAATGTCCCTTCTGCCTCTAACTAACTGCTTAGCTATGAAGGACTTGCTCCCACACCTAGAAGTGACATGAACTGAAATAGTATGACTTTCAATCCATATTTAGATCAGTTAATTTGGATTTATCTGGAAAGAAATTCAACACGGCATCAGAAGACCAACAGTCTTCAGAATATCTTAAAATCTTGAGATTATGTAGTTGTAAAAAATTACACTGAGTATTTGCAACACAGCTTATGTCTCATCACAATCAAATCTAATCCCTTAATAATGCCCAAAAATTTTACACCAAAGACTGTTCCTGCTCTGTTGGACCTCATGAACTGGAGTTAAAAAATAATAATCAAAAGTCTGTAGGGAGATTTATGAAAGAAACCAGCCCTAATTCATAGCATAAGGATATCTGTTTCCAATGAAAGAAGATGGCATTCTGAGTATTTCACCTCATCTTCTACAATTAACGTAACCAGGATAGCAAATACTAAGCTATCCTAACCTCCATCACAAAATATGGCAATGTTTTGAATGCATTAAAATGTCCTGCTTTCAGCATGAAAATATGCGATGTGTCCCTTCTTTATTCAAGTTTTGGCGGAGTTTCTCCTTTGCATAATGCTCTATACTCCCAAGTCCAGTATCACCCGAACACATACACTTTCTCTCTCTCTCTCTCTCTTCTCTTTGATCTTGCTTGGTTGCCTTGGGGCCAGCAAAACGTTCCCAAATTGGAACCAATGGACTCTTCGCCGAGAATGGACCCTTTTCCCATCCAGGTCGACCAACTTTTCAGACAGAGGTAACGGTTCTCACTTTGGCCGACAAAGCTTGCTTAAACCTTCTCTTCAGGTCTTGCATGTTGGGCGACTTGGGCCTTGAGATGAGAGAACTTCTCCGCTTCTCTGTGGTGCCGGTGGGTTGTTGCTTACTGACTTCTTTGCATAAGCTCTGGAAGGCACAGAAGACCTCTTTGTAGTTCTCACTGACGGAGACTTCGTAGAAATTGCAGCCCAGCATGCTGGCCAGCTGAAGTCCATGCTGAGGTTCCACCTCTTTAATATGGAGCAAGTCTGCTTTGTTGGCCACAATCACTACAGGCACTCTATTTCCGGGATGCACCTGCCGTATATGCTGGTGGAAATGGCCAAGGAGTTCGTAACTTTTATGGTCGGTGATCGAAAAGACGATTACGACTGCATCCGCCCAACGAAGACACTTGCTCAGCTGTTCGTTACAATCCAGGCTGGGCCTGTGCATCTGTAGTTTTTTTGTTTTTTTGATTTAAAAAAAGGGGGGAGGGATAGAAGATTATTTGGATGCAAAGGTTGAAATGAAAATTACAGATCTTTCCGATGCAGCTTCTATTCCATTTTACATATACGAGTTAACGCTGTTCTGGTTCATTATTCTCCCCAAAGTTTAATCTCCTTTCCTGTTACTTAAGCAAAAACAAAAACTCAGGCTAAACTGGGTTATTCTGAAGCTTGCTATACATTCAAGTGGAAAACCGACCCGCGTCACTTTCTGTAAAGTAAAATAATTTGTGGTGCCAAAGAATGGGAAATTAACTGGCTAGACAGTCAGCAGGGAATGGAGGCGGGACGGGAACAAGAGGTATGAGCTGGAAACATTTAGAGTTGGAGGCTTGCCCAGTTCAAAAAGGCAAATTTTGACCTTACGCATGTCTATCCATTTAAACTTTCCACCATACAAAATCCACTCCAAAGTTGTTTTAATGAGTACAGCTGCTGGTACTGCTGAGTTGTTTCAATTATGTGTTTCTTAAATGACACTTGATTGGGCTGCTGCAGTAAAATTTGAAAATATTTCTGGTACATTTTGCCAGGAAACAAAAACAAAAATGTTTTAGTTTTCCAAGAAACAGCTTTTTACCCATTAGCAACATTTCTGGTTTTATTTAGAGAGGTTGCCTCCTTAAATTAAAATAAGGGCTGTGTTTTAAAGTGGGCAAAAGTTGAATTGAAATAGTGGGTTGCTTTCTTTTATACACAGATCATTTACTTGACTGTTTACAGTCATTCCTAGCACAAAAAGAATTTGCAGTGATTCCGCTGCCTAAAGCCAGCCCGCTTCTCAGCAAACATCTACGACAACTCTAGTCTTGAAGCTGAGCAACACTGAGTCTCCCTTTTAACTTATGGAACGCAAAGGAAACAACTTACCTGTACACCAGGTGTATCTTGAACCTGAATTGCAAACATCTCTCCATCAATTTCAATCTGTCTGCTGTACAGATTACCTGGCAATAGAAATAAAGGCCGAATTTTAACACAGGATTGCCAAAACTGAAAATACTTCTTTAAAAAAAAATTGGCAGCGAATAGAATGGCCATGTTCTACTTTGAAATGGGGTGGGGAAAAACATTCTAACTTTATTAGATGCATGCTTCCATCACAGAAAATAATTAGCACAATCCTAGGCATCTTACTTAGCCATTCAATGGGACTAAATTGCAGATGAGTTTGCATAAGACTGCAGCCTAAATGAATAGCTACAGAGAGGTAAACAAACAGCAGAAGCAGTTGTAAAATTAGTTGACATTGTCAGATGACTTTACACATGCTTTCTTATAAAAGTAACTTGAGGCATAAAGTTACTGCTAGAGACAGGTGCAAAAGAATTTATTAGCTGTCTGGGCCTTTTGTACAGGGCAGTGTTTCTCCATCTTGACAACTTTAAGACATGCAGACTTCAACTCCGAGAATTCACCAATTTCTGGGTTGCCAAGGTTGAAAAACATTGGTATAAGGGAATAACACACCTTGTAGTTAACAGGAAATTTATGGGACAATTATGCTGTATCAGGATAATTAAATGTGTTTACATTTTCTGCCACAAGAATAAATTAATAGTGATGTGCTGCATTTTGATTGCCATGTTTTTACTTTGATGATGACAGTTTCTACCTGCCAGGTAAGTCTCCTTCATCCCATTAGCCTTCTATTAAAAATAAACCCTTTGGTTTCATTGATTTATCATCTGTATCAACTATTCTTCTTCTTTTGGCTGGGCAGACAGGAAGTTTATTTAGTTATGGTCAGGACAAGGTTGCCATGGCACCCTACATGTGGACAGGTCTCAGTGTTGTTGTTTTTTGCAGTATTTTGGCAAAACTTTGGACTGGGTCAGTTACTTTGGATTATTAGATGTTTCAATTAAGTTTACATTGTTATGTTATTTTCCAGGAAGGGTGGGGAATCACACCTCTGCTTTTTTAGCACTCTGCAGTAGAAATCCAGTCATGAGATTTGCTCTAACACAAACACATTTTGCTGCAAGTTGATCTGTCTTTTTTAGAATGTTTAGCCTGTTGGCACCATTAGAGCAAATTATTTATGGGATAAGCCAAGGTGCCTCCTTCGTGAATGTAAACTACCAGTAGCATCCACAGGGCATGATCAAAAGTCAAGGCGGATACCACAAGAGTATAATTGAAGCTCCACCTGTTTTGCCAGCAGAGTTTCAATCATACAATTGAGGCAGATACCTTGACAAACCTTATCTTCTTTACCTTGACATCCCTGACCTTATCTTCTGGATACCCATCTGCATTTCCAAGGATGAAGCTAGCTAGGCATTCATGGTAGCAAATGCTGAATTTGATTGTTCCCGCCTCAGCCATCTCTGGAAAAAGCTGCTCTTATTTTTTATTTTTTATTTTTTTTCAATTTGGTTTCATCTGCTTTAGAGAGGCTTCCATCATTTAATTCCCCCGCAGTTCCTCAGAACAGCTGCCCTTGCTTTCTTTTCTTGCCTTTTCAGAATAACAAAAGCACTTTAAAGTTCAGTCCAAAACCTATTTGCATAAATACCTTGATTACAGATAAAGATAGGAGCTGAACTAAGGAGGGGAGCTTAAAGCCACATCTTTTAACTTGGAATGCTTTTCATTACTGCTGATGTACGTGGGTGGCAGAATCCATGAAAAAGATGTCAGAAGTCAGGCATTCCAGCTTGAGTGAAGTAACCCTCGGGATGCCTTTTTTTTTCCCCCTTCCGAAAACAGACAAAGTAAGACTGCATACAAAAAACTTTGTCCTCTTGCTATACCGATGAATGCACCCCCCCTTCACCCCTTTTTTCTCCCAAGGGTGAAAATACATGGGAATGCACTGCCTAAAGAAGGCGACGCTGATATCGCAGAATCCTTTCTTACCTGCGTTACGTTCATAGTCTCCAATGAATCGCTTTGTGAGAAATCTCACTACCAGGGCTGCAATTAACAAAAAAAAAGGATGTCATTTATCAAGAGGAGAGGAAAAAGTCATCAATCACTATTTCAGGCTTCTTAAAAACTCACTCCCTGTCTTGCTGCCCCCATCTCCACCCCAATGCACACAGATCAGCTGTGGATAGAGCAACCCGAAGGAATATGGTCCTTCAAAGAAAAACTCGAGGAAGCCAAGGCAACTGGCTATAGGATAATGAGAGAGGTGTGAAGGTTCAGGTAATCTAAATTCCTAGTTTTTTTCTACTCCTGGCTTTCTGTCTCCTTAAACTTGTAGGATTAGAAGACTGGGGTGCCCACTGTTAAAAATCCCGTGGGAATCACCCTAACAACTCTTAATAGATACGAACCTATTATACTTTTATGCTGGGGGGAGGAGGTCTTAATATCATGCCAAGGGGGGGGGACATCAATTTTTTTTCCACTTGACTATGTCCACCCCAAATCCAGCAGCAGGTGCATGGGGAACATGGGTAGGACGCAAGATCTGCCTAGTTCTGTTTAATATGAATTCAAATGACTACATTCTAGGGGCCCATTTTT